GCCTAGCACGTCCCGATGAAACCTTTGGGAGCTAACTATTTTATTTGCAGTTATTGAATACATTGCTTTCTAATATGTGTTCGGATTATATATATATATATATATATATATATATATATATATATATATATATATATATATATATATATATTTTAGAATTATATTCGAATTTCGAAGTCGAAGTCCTGGTGTTTAGCAGCGCTGTAGGGGCTAGAGGACGCAGGTTGTTCACTGCTCGTTCTGTGAGCGGAGGAGAAAGAGCGTCCCGCTCAGACTCTACTCAGCACTTTTCACTGCTTGTAATTCTTACACAGCTGAATCAATTACCTCAAGTTTTCAATTAAAGCTTCTTTAATTTGAATTGAATGATAGTAGATTCTTATTATAAAAGCATGATGATATTCCAGCGTCTGCCACTAGAGGCCAGTACTTCTCTGTATTCATACAAACACTCTTCATCATCATCATCACAGAACAGTTTTTAGCGCTCAGTCCTAGGCACAGCTGTACCACTAATTAGGAAAAACAACCGTATCCTTCTCCCTCAGGTACACAGAGAGAAACTTTAATCTAACAAAGAGAATAGTCTCATTAACATAATTAAAATCTTCTTCAAATCATCCAAATGCAAATGTTCCAGATCCTTCTTAGGGCCACAACATGTACTTGTGATTCATGTAGAATAATAATGTACCTGTGATACACGTAGAATAATAATGTACCTGTGAAATGCATATATTAATAATGTACCTGTGATATGTATGTAGAATGATAGTGTACCTGTGATACACGGAAAAAACATCAGGAGACCGGTGTAACAGTGCAGTCTCCCCCCGTGCCCTCTACTGTTCATTAGCTGTTAGCTTGGCCGCAGCTCTGATGTGGTCGTTAGCCTGATCTCCTGCTAATCCACCTCTGGACATGATCTCCTCCTCTTCGTTTCAGAACGCTTCACACAATACTGAAATAGATCAGTGTATATGACCCAGATGCCCTGCAGCCACTGTAGATCCAGGACTGGGGCTGTAGATCCAGTTCTGAGGCTGTAGATCCAGGACTGGGGCTGTAGATCCAGTTCTGAGGCTGTACATCCAGGACTGAGGCTGTAGACCCAGGACTGAGGTTGTACATCCAGGACTGAGGCTGTGGATCCAGGACTGAGGCTGTAGACCCAGGACTGAGGCTGTAGATCCAGGACTGAGGCTGTAGACCCAGGACTGAGGCTGTAGATCCAGGACTGAGGCTGTAGATCCAGGACTGAGGCTGTAGACCCAGGACTGAGGCTGTAGATCCAGGACTGAGGCTGTAGACCCAGGACTGAGGCTGTAGACCCAGGACTGAGGCTGTAGACCCAGGACTGAGGCTGTAGATCCAGGACTGAGGCTGTAGACCCAGGACTGAGGCTGTAGATCCAGGACTGAGGCTGTGGATCTAGGACTGAGGCTGTAGACCCAGGACTGAGGCTGTGGATCTAGGACTGAGGCTGTAGACCCAGGACTGAGGCTGTAGATCCAGGACTGAGGCTGTAGATCCAGGACTGAGGCTGTAGATCCAGGACTGAGGCTGTAGATCCAGGACTGTGGCTGTACATCCAGGACTGAGGCTGTAGACCCAGGACTGAGGCTGTAGATATACATTCTAATCCCATTTGCAGCTATTTGTGAGATCAAACACTGGACTAATGAAACTTGTGTGTTGTTCCACCTGCAGCTGCTGTGCGTGTTTATTGAGTCTTTTGTGTTGCTGTTGTGTGTACAGCAGGTGGACACACAACAGCAGGATAAGTGTACACACACACACACACAGCAAACCACAAAGGACTGTATTAGTGTTTGGTGAGGTAAATGATTGAAAGTTATAAGTCTGGATCTAGAGATGAGAAAAAAGGTAACATGTCAAAATGTCATTTTTCCAGAGGAACAATTATATAATCGTTTATTTATAGAGAAAAGAATGAAAACCAACCTTTCTGACAGAAATTCTGTAAAAACGCGGGTCCTGGTTTTGCGCTGTGTATTTGCTGCATATTTGGTTTGGTCTGGACTCTGGAGTCTTCTGTGCCTGTACTTATCTTAGCAGCAATGATGCCTGACATGAGCTTCCATGTTGTGGAGAGAGGTTATTGGTCATTAGTTGGAGGGGAATGCACTCTTCACAGGGTCCTTCATCAGTTTCAGTTTAGTTTATTTCAAAGGGGACAATGCAATATAATAAAAGTCATGATTAATCATGAGTTTAAAAAAGCCAGAATTAGCCAAAGAGGCTATTTTTTACCTGTAGCCCCCGATTATGATCAGGACCATTTGCCCTTCGGTTAGCCATTCCGGGTGAGTCCCATCTCTCAGCAGCTGGTTCATTTGTGCAGCTAGGCGCTCATGGAGTGATGTGAGTGTCCTTAGCCAGTAGGCATGGACCATATCAGGGCCAGGTGCTGTCCAGTTTTTCATACCTGAGACTCTTTCTCGGATGTCTGCCTCTGTGATGGTAACTGAGTTCTGTTCTGGGAGATGGCTGTGCTCCTCTCTCAGGGACACCAGCCATTGTGCACTGCTGTTATGTGCGGCTTCCTTCTCCCATATGTTCTTCCAGAACTGTTCAGTTTCCAGCCTCGGTGGGTCTGCTCCCCTGTTGTTACCCTGCCACTGAGCGTACACTTTTGCAGGTTGTGTTGGGGACAGCCTGTTTACTCTTCTGGCTTCATTCTCTTTAGTGTACCTCTGTTGGCGGCTGGCCAGGGCTTGGAGCCTTTGTTTGGCAGTTTCGAGTGCTTCAGGTATGGTCATCTGGCTGTATTTCTTGGGTACCGGTCTTTTCATTGCACCGCTCTGGGCCTCTGTTAATTGAGTTAATTGACTCACTCCGAGCCGCCTTGATCTTAGCCTCTAAATGTCTTTTCAATGGTTAGTTTTGTCTTTTGGCTCCCATGGTTGCTCTTTTAGCCAAACATCTCTAGGCTCACTGCTGCCGAAGTGTATATCAGCTCATTGGTTTCAGTGATTGTGGTGGTAGTATCGCCTTCACTGCTTCATTCACGCATGATCACATTGGGCCTCATTCACGAATAACTTCGTAAGAAACTACTCAACTTTCTTCTCAAGTTGTCCTTAAGTAGATTTCTAAGAAGTCCCCACGTGGGATTCATCAACGCACTCGTAAGCCGCTGAATTGTTCGCAGCTGTTCTCTCAGATTGATGAATCCCATTTCCTCGTAAGTACAGCGCGTGTGCCAGGTGCTTCATTAGCATAGGTACTTAGCATAAGTAACCGCCCACTAATGCCCATATAAGGGACTGCAGGGCCGTGTGCAGACGGCTGAGGAAACAGCAACAGGCCTAAAGCAAAGCGTTACACGGAGCAAAAGAGTCACCCTTTTTTCTTCTTTTACCAGACTGAGAATAAAGTTATAAAATGTTGACTTAAAAGTCGAAATATTATGATAATAAAGTCGAACTAGCAAAATTATGAGATTAATCTAAGAATATGATGAGATTAATCTCAAAATGTTATGAGCTTAATTTAAAAAATATATTATGTATTATTTTAAAGATGAATCTCAAAATGTTTTGAGATTAATCTCAAAATATTTTGGACCCTGGGAGGAGATCCAGCGCGGACCAGCGCTGAGACCAATGCAGACCCGAGGAGAGACTGGAGTGTCCAGCACACAGAAACCAGCGCGGACCTATAGGAGAGACCGCATAGACTGGAGTGACCTGACTGGAGAGACCGGTGCGCAGAGACCAGCGCGGACCAAAGATAGACCGCATAGACCAGACTTGAGAGACCAGCGCGGACCCGTATGGATCCAGGAGCGTGCAGCACGGACCCGTATGGAGAGAGACCAGTGCAGACCCGTCTAGATTCATGGGAGAGACCAGCGCAGACCAGTATAGATCCATGGGAGAGACCAGTGCAGACCAGTATAGATCCATGGGAGAGACCAGTGCAGACCCGTATATGGGAGAGACCAGTGCAGACCCGTCTAGATCCATGGGAGAGACCAGTGCAGACCAGTATAGATCCATGGGAGAGACCAGTGCAGACCCGTATAGATCCATAGGAGAGACCAGCGCAGAGACTCAGCGCGGACAGTAACCTCCTGCAGCAGCAGTATATATGCCGTTGTTCTGTGGCCCGTGGATAAAGAAATGCCCCCTATAAATAGGAAGGGGTCACTAATACACGGCAAGATTTCCAATGTATTTGATAAAGCGTTGGCACATTTCATTTCAAAATGAATTAAAAAGTAGGCCAGATCTGCAGTGAAAAAGGCGGTATATAAATAAAGATTACTAATAAAGATTACTACAAATAAATAAATACATACATCGATATGACGGACATATCACTGGAATGTTGTATTTTTATTCAACTTCACCAAAGAGGACAACCCCGGCGTGTGAACATGTCGGCACTGAATGCGTACGAGTGCTCCTGAGGACTCGTAGGATTTGTACTTGCCCAAGAGAAATTCTGGTTACGAGAAATATTCGTGAATGCCACTTTCTTCGTAAAAACCGCGTAAGTAGGATTTACGTACAAATCTGTTCCTAAGAACCGTTTGTGAATGAGGCCCAATGGCTTTATTTTTTCACTTGAAATATGATGTAAAAATGTCAGACACATAAAACACAATAAAAAGTTGGTTTGGAAACAAAAAACATGTGACACTGTGGTTGTTTCCTTAGGCAAGACACGTCCCCCACATTACAATGAGTCTGGTGTGTGTGTGAATGGTTGGTGGAGAGGGACAGATGGCACAGAATGGTTGTCTCGCTTCTGTCAGTGTGCCCCAGGGCAGCTGTGGCTCCAGTAGTAGTTTATCACCACTATGTTTGGAGTGAAAGAATAATGACATGTGAAGAGACTTTGAGAGTTCAGAAAAAAAAACCTACAGAATAAAACTGATGCAGTATTATTATTATTATTATTGTGTTGCAGGAGTGAACCACTCGGTGCCTGCTTTCCTCCGGAGTCCAGTCCTCAGTCCTGCGCTGGACATGAAGCCTTTACTGCAGTTTCCTCTGGACTCTCCTCATCCTCCTCATCCTCATCATCCTCATCATCCAGCCTCCGGCCTCTTCCACAGCTTCCACACAGTGAGTGTTTGGTTCTTGTCGACATGGTGGCGCAGGGGTTAGCGCTTGTGCTTCACAGCAGAAGGTCCTGGGTTCCATCCTTTCTGTGTGGAGTTTGCATGTTCTCCCTGTGTCTGTGTAAGTGTCCTTCGGATGGTCCGGTGGACTCTCCCTCTGTTGTCTCTCTCTGTGTTCTCTCTCTCTGCGGTTTCTCTCTGTGGTCTATCTCTGGTCTCTCTCTGGAATCTCGCTTTGTGGTTTCTCTCTCTGTGTTCTCTCTCTCTCTCTGTGGGGTCTCTTACTGTGGTCACTCACTGTCTCTCTTGGGTCTCTCTCTCTGGCCCTTCTCTCTAGATCTCTCTCCCATTGATCTTTCTCTCTGGGGTCTCTCTCTCTCTCTGCTACCTGAATGTGGTCTCTGTCTCTCTGGTGTCTCTCTCTCTGGGATCTCTCTCTCTGGGTTCTCTTTCTCTGAGAACTCTCGCTGTATCTCTCTCTGGGGACTCCCTCTGTAGTCTCTCGTCTCTCTCGGGGGTCTCTCTCTCTAGGGTCTCTCTCTGTGGTCTCTCTAATGTGTTTTACTGCATTAAAATGACGTATTGTGAATCGATGCACGCACTGCGTTCCCCACGTCAGCACTTTTCACGGCTCACATTTCCAGATTGAGTTTCACATGAAGGTCACCCCGGCGCAAAGGAGGCTTCGCACGGAAACGCATGCATCAGAGACGGGGCAGGTTTATTCGTATAGCACAGTTCATACACAAGGTAACTCACAGGGCTGAACAAAACAAGATCACTGTACAAAAAGAGTAAAGATAAACTGTTTTTAGGAAGACTGTTATAGATTTTAGCTGCATTAACCTGAAACACTGCCTTCCCCGGTCTATTTCTGACTCTGGGATCATAATTGACCCAGGACTGAGGCTGGGTCAATTATGCTCAAAAACCATGAACATGTTCGCTGACATATTTGCAATCTGACTCCTGGAGGGGGTGGACCTGGAAAGAGAATTATCCAATGCTTTAACATGCCGCCTTGATTCCTCTCAAAAACGACTTTACAGGATGGTCCAAAAGTTCAGCTTTTGGCCTAACGTTACGAGACCCCAGAGAGAGGGACCCCGGAGAGAGGGATCCCAGAGAGAGACCCCAGAGAAAGACCACAGAGAGACCAGAGAAAGACCACAGAGTAACACCACTGAGTAAGACCACTGAGTGAGACCACTGAGTGAGACTACTGAGTGAGACTACTGAGTGAGACCACTGAGTGAGACCACTGAGTGAGACCACTGAGTGAGACCACTGAGTGAGACCACTGAGTGAGACCACTGAGTGAGACCACTGAGTGAGACCAGATATTTAGCCACTGTGGACTTTTGGAGGCACTAGTTAAATGAATGGGGCTCATGCCGACTAACACATGCACCAATGCGTTTTTTCACATCTTCCTGCCTGGCCATTTTGAAAAAACCCACAGAAGGCAAAAGTGATGACACATTGGTTTCAACGGCAGAGATAGGCTTGACTACCTCCGTTAATATTTACAGTCTATGCTGTAGACCCAGGACTGAGACTGTAGATCCAGCCAAGTGCTGTCCTCCGCATTAGGATTTTTAAATCTGATGGACCTGTGTGTCTGCCATGGTGTCTGCTCCATGGTGTTTGACCCATGGTATGTTCATGGTGTGTGGATGTTATGTTGATGGCTTGTGGATGGTACACCTACACAGACACAGGCAGAACATGCAAAGTGCAGTCAGAAACAGGGTTCCACACTGAGGTCTTCCTGCCGCTGTCTGTGAAATTAAACCTGATGCTAAATATGAAAACAGCAGAATCTGCAGTATCAAACTTTTCCAAACAAAAGTTAATTGTACAGCTTTCGCTGTTACATTGTCATTTCACACCTGAGAATAAACCTTTTCCAACAATAGCAACCCGTCACATAGAGCCCTATGTCCTCGATCCAGAATCAGACCTTATGTCAGGATTAAGCAGACAGAGACGGATCGTGGTGTGCCAAACTCTGGAAGTTTATTTAAGTTTCTCTCAAGTTCCACTGGTTTACTCTGTTTCTTTCTCTCAGACAGAATAAAGGCAGTACACAGTTTATATAGTCATTGTCACGTCACACATCGAAAGACATACGTGTCACAAAGAGACAGTCACATCATAGTCATAACATGGAGTCCTTGTAGAGTCCTTGTAGAGTCCTGCACGTAGGCCATATTGCTATCTAATACTAACACCCTCCCCTTTGATCACATAATCACATGTGATCACTCAAATCGATCAATCAATAAAATGGAAAAAGAAAAAAAAAAATTCCAAAAAAAAACTTCAAAAAATTATTAAAAACAAAGAAAATGTATGCATTAAACTCATAATCATCAAATCAATATCAGTGGATTTTATCCTCTATACTGGGAAAAAACAAACAAACAAAAATAAAGTAAATAAAAACAAACAAACACTATTGGACACACAAGAACTCAGCAGATTCAGTCAAAACACAGACAAAAACGAGCTGAGTCTCAAATTAGAAGCTAATTTCACTTTTATTACTCTACTTTTATTCTAATGCTAATTGTTTACACTTCACTTATTTCACTGTATTATTTTCACTTTTCAATCTTAAACTGTGTACTTTACTTTCACTATTCACTATAGTTTAAAACTATTCTAATCTATTTACAAATATGTTTGCATATTTGCTTCTATTGAGCCATATTCTTAAACATACATTTTAATCTAATAAATCTCTCTGTGGTATTATACTCTCATTATCAGTGGCTTTGTGCTTGTGGGATTTTGCTCCATCTATTCTCATTCTCAGGAATAAAACTGTGAACACAGTAAGGCAAATGGTCAACATTTACACTTCTATAGTGGTCAGTGATTTATTACTTTTTATTATCTAAAGATATTATTGTCAGGCAGTTTGGGATGAATGTACATCATTAATCAAATTAGTATTATCCTAATAGTAGCTAATTAGGTTTGGGGTTGGGGTCAGTTATTCTACAATGGTGTTTGATTCTCTAATCTGTTCTGATGAATCGACAGTGGGCTATACCCAAATACATCAAAATGCTTTTGAATCTTTGTTGGTTGTAATCTATCTCATTAATCTAGGCTACACTCATATGAACTTTTTGCATTGTCAACATTCACTCATGTGTGAACACAAGTGAATTTGGCAAGTATCTAATAAAACTGTACATAAAACTGTAAGTAACTTTATCTACTTTTGAAGTAAATGCTTGTGAAATGGTCCCTTTACCATTTGATATTAGCACTGGCTAAGAATATTCTCTATTTTTGAAAGCATCTATGGTTGATGCATTTATCTATTCCTATTTTTACTCTATTTTTTTAACTCCAAAGCTCGGTTGCAGCTTGAGCCAAGGCATATTCCTAGTTTGTGACTTCTGTCACTTTTAATATCTCTAAAATAACGTAACTGATTCTAATATTATATCTGCTCTATCAGAAGGATAACATTGTATGGAACTATTTTAACTCTTACGTGGAAATGTGTTTATGAACAACAAAGAAAGGACAATTCTACTTTTTTACTACTATTTAACATCTACTTCAAAGTTTTTGTCTGTCAGATGTCTGAATACTTAACATGTATATTGCATTTGGTCACAGTTGTGGTTGTAGCAATAGCATCGGCAATAGACGTTTTTCATTGGCTGGTTCTTGTTCTGCAAATGTCTGTGTCCAATAGATCATCAGATGTCCAGAAGCTAGGGACAAACAAAAACAAAAGAAAGAATCATGAGTATCTGTCTCATTTAGCACTCATCAATGGCATTTCAAAAATATAAACATCACTCCCCAGTTTTCTCTCTCTCAGGTCCTCAGGTCCTCAGGTCCCCTGAGGGTGAGTCTCAGTCTGGTCCATCAGGTCAGGTCATATTTCGAGAGATGTCATCTTGGACATCAGTAGGGTCCAAGCCATGGTTCTGGTCTCTCCAGATGCACATCAGATCTCCAGATACAGTCTTTTCAGTTGAAGCACATCAGGTCATTTGCGATGCACTTCTGGTCAATGGTGCAGTGTCTCAGTTCCTGTACACAGCTTGTTATGCAGTAGTTACTCTCTATGGTTAAGTCACTTTGATTCTACTTTAACACAATTTCTATTCATGCTGTTGCTTCTGTCCCTCAGACAAAAGCAAGCGCAGTTTACTTCTCTAATTTGTGTTTTTATCAGATCTAATCCTAATCAATGTAATTACTTCACACAGTACAAAATCAAAACATCAAAAGTGTCAGGACAGAGGTCAATTAAGTCCATGACAATATAGAATTCAAATGAACATTTCTGGTCTCAAAAAATACAGATTCAAATAAAGATTCAAGTGATAGACAATTAAAAATGTGTTTACATTGGAGTAAACTTTTAAAATGCTTTTTTCTCATGTTCTGCTTTTTCATGTATCTATATGTAAATGTGAATGTGTGAGTGTGTAGATGTATGTGTGTATGTGTGTGTGTGTGTGTATGTAGGGTGTGAATTTATGGGGTTGTGTCTCAAGACTCCTCGAACCACCCGTAGGTGTCAAAGGTCACACTGTGGTGATGCAAACCAACTGGACACACTTTCAACTCTCATTCAGGTCTCTCCCTGATGCTCCACCCATCACGTCTCCAGATACCTCTCTTTCATGGCCCCGGTCTCTCTCACACCCACTCAGTTCTGCAGTGGCGTGGGGAGGGGCAAGGAGGTGGCATTTCCCTTTGCTCTTAGCTCTGTGACCTGTGGCTGGGTGGGCTTTGTGCTGTCCAGTGTCCAGCAGTGACCTCTCGTACAGTGAGGCAGAGTCTGAAAAACAATCCTTGAGACGGCCAATTTAAAAACAACAGATACAGTATCAGTTTGTGAATGAGATTGTTTTTCTCTCTGAAGTCAAAACAATTTTGGAGCGCTCTGGGTTTTCCCAAGCGCTATGTAAATAAAAGATTACTTATTATCTTACTAATGATGACATTTTAAAACCAGAAACT